TGGTCTGGGTGTGGTCTGGGTGGACATTCAGTGACCCTGGACATCCAGAGGACGACGGAAGCAGGACCTAGGGCCCTGCACGTCAGGAAGTTCCTCAATGGTGGGCTCAGTGCCGCTGCCTGGGGCTTTATTGCACCTTACTATATACACAGACCAGTCTTCCTGAAGCCAGGGAGCTGAGATTTCTGTAATAACACCACTGTGTCCCCTTCATGTACCTCAGTGTCTACTGAGCTTCCAATCAACCTCAAAGCTTCTGACCCATAGTGGAAACAATAAAAGTACATGGGAAACTATAACATGAAGGAAGAAAGGAGGAGAGGGAAGGGGAGAAGTAACTTCAGCCAAGTTCCTGTTGTGGGTCTCACGCTGAACCCGGGGCCCTGGCCTGTTGCCCAACCCAGTGACGCGTCCGGGAAGAAGGGACCAGTATGTGTCTCATGTTACGGACGACAAATCTGAAGCTTGCTTCAGGAATTCAGACTAGAGAACAATCACTGCTCCCAGAATGGGATCAAACTGTTTCCAGGAGAAAGTGTTCTGGAAACAGAGAAAACATGGTGTGAGGTGTCATACGCAGTGTTCTCTCTGCATGACCTTTCTAAAACTCCAAGAATTAAAAAGTAAAGCCTGCTTCTGAAACACCTCTGGGCCCAGGACTCTTCAATGAGACATGAACTGCAGTCCCGTACAGGATGGGGTGGGGAGCAGAGGGTAGGACACCAGTTCAGAGACTTCCAACAGTCCTGCCCAGGAATAAGAGAACCTGAGGCAGCCCTGGAAATGGGGGGGGGGGGGGGGGGGCGGAGCGGATATAAGAATCACTGGGAATTAGACTTGGCAGCTACTTGGTGCTGAGATGGAAGGGGGGGTCAGAGGAAAATCCATGGCTGACCCTGGGAGCCCAGGGACACTGTCTATAACAATACCAACCACGGAGCCAGGATGGTTGCCAAGTCATTTTTGTCACACTGGCTATGAGGTGCTGGCAGAACACCTGGGTCATGGTCCCCAGCAGAGAGTGAGAACAGGTGTTTGGAGATGGGAGAGAGGTCAGCACCTGAGCAGTAAGACTGAGGCCCAGCTACATAGAGGGGATACAGCTATGGAAATGGGTGCGATTCCCAAGGAATAAGGAAGGGGAGAATATACACATGAATTTTGGGAAATCACTAGCTCTTCACAACAGAACTTTTGACTTGCCCGAAAAGCCAGTTACTGCAATTGGCAGAGGCCAGCAACCCGCCAATGATGGAGAAGCAGGTGGGCGGACACCTCACAATGTACCAGTTGGGGTTCCCCTAGGAGGGAGTGCCGTTCCAGAACTCCCTCCTAACATCTCAGGTGTCTGCTGCCAACAATGAACTGAGCACACACCAGTTCAGAGCTCTGGAAAGATGTCCCAAAGCAAGTGAGTTCACTTTTTTAAAAACAATCAGTATATGTCTCCACGTCCACATTTTCTACCCTCTTACGCCAATAGAAACATAACTATTTGTGCAATCCATCATCGTGGCCCATTCTGACTCAAGGGAAGCCATTCAGTCCACAGCAAACCAGTTTGTCAGGCTGCTATCTCGTCTGTAAACGGCGCCGTTGTTACCAACACCCCGTCCGCCTGCACTGTCTGGAGCAGTGGGGGCGAGGGCGGAGGGACTGGAGGAGAGAAGCAGGTATGAGCTGAAGGCACATTCCTCACCTCCGACAGGGAACCTACGGATGGGAGGTTTCTTGAGAGGCATGATGGCTAATTTCATCTGTCAGCTTGGCTGGGTCACGTTGCCCTGACACGTGGTTGAATATTATTCTGGATATTCCTGGGAGGGTGTTCTGGAGTGAGATTCACATGGAAATCAGTGGACTTTGAGGAAAGCAGATTGCCTTCCCTGTGTGGGTGGGCCTCATCCAATCAGTTGAAGACATGAATAGAACCAAAGACCCACCTCCCTCGAGAAAGAGGTTTCTGCCAGCGGCTGGTCTTCAGACTTAAGCTGCAGCCTCAGCTCCTTCCCAGTCTCCACCCTCCCGGTCCACTCTGCAAATCCAGGTGTGCAGGCCTCCATAGTCGCTAAAGCAATTCCTTCACATACAGAACTACACAAAGAGCGGGCCCTCGCTGCAGGCGGTGTGGGAAGCGCCCCTCTGGATCACTGGGAATTGGTCTGAGCTAAGATCGTGATGGAAACAGAAAACACGAGAATGGAGCTCAGCAGAAAGACAAAGCTGAGAAGGTGGGAGAATGGGAGTCTCACGTCGGCACGCCGCTCACCTTGGAAACAGGACAGGGAGCAGCCCTCTGCACAACGTCTGCGAGTGAAATCTCAGATGTACAGTTACATTTGCATAGATAGTCCAGCTGAAAAAATAACAATAATAAATAACTAAATAACTATACATCCTGTCAGCCGTTTCTCTGGAAAACCCTGACTAACACCAGAGGGCGGGAAGGTGTGAAGCACCATCACTTCAGGAGACCAAAGAAATTGAAACCTATGACCCAGATTGTTGGGAAAAAGGCAGGTGAGTCAGCCGTCACCAGCGTGGCTCGGTGGTTGGCGTGGCTCAGTGGTTGGAGGGTCGGCCCACACACCGAAGGGCATCTTTGGCACTATTTCAATTCTCCCTAAAACTTCAGTAAATCAGATGAGGAGGGGATGAGCATACCTGAACTGGCCTGCTCTTATCACTTTGTCCTGATGAAGTAAACCAAAGGCCAACTAGGAAGCTTTCAGAGGCAACCTGAGGGAGCACCAGCTGGCCTGATACTCCTCTAAATGAATGTGTCCTCTAAGCGAATTTGTTCGTTTTTAGAACTTAGATAATAGAATGAATAGCAGGACAGATGTGTGCTGACCCAGCTCACCCAGTTCCCTTCCACCTCAGCTCCCTCCCACCTCCGTCCCTCCTGCTTATGGCTAACTGCCTCCGCTTCTGCACTTGCTTTCTCTCCCCCAAGGCCAACAAGAAATGCCAGCTGCAGAAGTTTATAACAACCCCCCTATAAAGTAAAAAATCAGCTGAAAGTCGGACTGATCTCCGAGAACTGGGGATCAGTCGCCGGCCAGCTTTGCTCTCTATTTGGCTTTTTTTCCCCTCACCCGAGGACATTTTTCCATTTTTTTGTTCAGAGTGGGAGGGAAAGAGAGAAACATCAATGTGAAAGGGACACATTGAGTGGCTGCCACCCACATGACTAACCAGGGCTGGGGACAAACTGCAACTGAGGTATGTGCCCTTAGCGGGAACCAAACCTGGGTCTCTCGGGACTGCAGGCCAAAGCTCTAACCACTGAGCAAACTGGCCAGGGCTCTATTTGGCTTTAATGTGGCTCGTGATCTCTCGGTTCTCTAGCGCCACAGTACCCACGTTTTTAAGCATATTTCCTCAGTGTCAGAAGCTTCAATCAAACTAGTCATCTGGGAAAAAGTTTATAAACACCTTGGACTGATTTAAACAAACTGAAAACCCCCTCTCCTGAACAGACCCCCATAAAGTGATCAACAGGTAGGTATACTTTTATTACAAGGGTGCCTGACCAGGAGTCAGCCGTGGGCTGCCGTGTGTAGGGTTGGGGATTTGGTGGATGAACAAAATGTAACCTTAAGGTATGCATTTTCGCAGCCTGGTCAGCCAAGGATCAGAGTATGCCTGTAAATAGATAAGGTGTGCCTGATGGGTTGGAACGCCACCCTGTCTGAACTGAATGTATTGAATATGTGTGAATAGAAAAGGTATGCATGAAAATGGATTGGGTCCAGCCAGTGTGGCTCAGTGGTTGAGCATCGACCCATGTACCAGGAGGTCGCCAGTTTGATTCCCGGTCAGAGCACATGCCCAGGTTGTGGGCCCAATCCCCAGTGGAGGGCATGCAGGAAGTGGCCAATCGATGTCTCTATCTCTCTCTCCTCTCATTTCCTCTCTCTGTAAAATCAATAAAGAAAAAAAAATTAAACATAAAAAAAAAAAAAATGGGTTGGAACACCACCCTGAAAGAGACAATGGGTGATATGCTCAGGCATGAATGAGTTTGTTTTGATGTATCTTGGCTGAAAACAGCGAGAGAGACAGGAAGTATGCTGAGCTTGGCTGTATGGTGAGCAGAGATGCAATTTCAAGGGCTTAATTACCTAAAACCCCATGTATCCTGGGGAACCACTTTGCAAATAAATCGGGTTGCATGCAGAGATCTGGAGCATTTGCTCCTTGCGATGCTCCCTCTCATTCCTAACAGCGTCTGCTTGTGGTTCATTGCATTGCAACCACCCCTGGCAGGCCAAGAGAACCAGAAGCTATGGTCACTGGGCAGCGCCATCAAGAACACTGCCCAGCGTGAAACAGTGTCCCCAGCCTCTCCCTCAGTGAGGCGTGTACATGACGTCCCCATGCCTCACACACTGCAGCAAGTGGACCTGTGTGGCCTGTCTCCCACGACCTGGCCCCTTACTCTGAAACTGCAGATGGCTTCATGCGCAGACACCCTCTGTCAGAGCCCATGTCTGCCTACACTCTGTTACAGATTTTAACACAAGCTTAGAGTTCATGGTGTCTCCTCTTCACAGGTCATCATAAATATATTTTAAGGTTATCATACTTGAACAGATTTCATAAGAAATTAAAAATAGTACCTACCTATAATTCCCTTCATCCAACAAGCCATGTTCCTTTTGTGGGAAATACGCCACCCCTTATAAAACAAGAAGGTAAATTTTTCAAAATATTTTCCATTTCAGTGACTCTCTAGTCCTGTGGATCATCAGCAAGTGTGTGAGGCTTGAGGGCCCCCACAGAAGCAACTACTAATTAGATTTCACAGAATTTCTTTGGTTGGTATTTGACGAACAATTTATGCAATTCTACAAAGAAATCAGTGTTATAGTTTCTTAACATTCAACATAAAATATCAGACATAATAAGATAAATGGGGGGGAACATGATCAAAAGATAAAAATGTAAACATGAGAAAAGTAAACATGGAAACAAATCTCTTTAAAAGTCGTTTCATTACAAGAGAATTAGCCAGAATTTTGCACAATTGCAAAAAAAACCCTCCACATGAACACAAGGGCGCCCTTACCATCATCTTCTTACAGTCGCCTTGCAAAGAATGTTCCATCCGCTGAGCCCAGCCTTTGCTGCCAAAATCAGAACACACAGCTGCTTTCACCGTCTAACACCCGCCGCAGAGCGGGTTTCATCCTGGAGTGAGTGTCCATCTGCGCCTTGCTCCACGGAAACCGTACATCAGTCCTTTAGGAGTTATTTCAGTCCTCCACCCCCAAATTCAATGCAAACAACAACAAAGTCCAGAAACAAAGCTATTTTCCAAAAAATTCTGTCTTCCATTTCATTTTACAAGGCCAAGGACAAACTCGAGGAACAGTGTCCCAAGTCCTGCAGTTTCAAATTCCTTCTGTAACTCATCCAGCGACGAAAACTCTTTGACTTCGAATGCCCGGAACCTGCATTTGAAGGGGAGAAACCCTGATGAGCCCCGCCGTGTCAGGGTGCAACTACCACCCGGCGGCTTTGGCGCCCGCGCAAAAAGAAGTTCTACCTCGTGTGTTCTGGCTGCACCTTCGATTCACAGAGCACGCTGACCATCTTCTCTCTGCACTTCTTCCCACTCGAGTCCACGTCGACTTTGGAGGTTTTCTGAAGCACCAGATACTCCTAAACAACAAAGCAGGACATTATTACGTACGTCCCGGGCTCTGGGTCCCAAGTCCTAGTGTTCAAGGGGCCATGCACCTGCAGGCTGACTTTCCTGCTGCATGAGACAGCGAGAGAGTCAGTGTGTTTTCACACACCTGGTGGCAGGACGGACTGGGGACACAGAAGGTAAAAGTGATGTCCTCAGCCGACTCAGGTTTAATCCTGGACTGGACGGCTCTGCTCCCTGGCTGGTTACCTACACCTTCTGCACCTCAGCAACCCGTTCCCTACATTATGGGGAAGTCTCACGGTCCAACGAGTCAAGATGCAAAGCGCTAACGGTACATACCAGCTCTGGTCACTACTATTATTACTGCTCCAGCGTCTGAATAACATTCAAGGTGCACAGCACCTACCTTTCCAAATGGGCAGCATCTGCAAACAGGTACCTGTAATTCTCAGTTCTTATCTACAACCTTATAAAAACTTAACAAATATTTATATGAAATGGCATTTCAGAGACAGTTAATAGAATAGAAAGAACTCCTTTAAAAGTGCAATTTCTGCCCAGCCAGTTGGCTCAGTGGCTTGGGCGTCATCCCAGGGACTGAGAGGTCCCAGTTCGATTCCCGGTCAGGGCACATGCCCAGGTTTCAGGCTCCATCCCCAGTAGGGGACATGCAGGAGGCAGCCAATCAATGTATTTCTCTCACATCGATGTTTCTATCTCTCTCTATCTCCTTCTCTCTCTCTAAAAAATCAATAAGAAACATTTTTTAAGTGCAATTTCTCTGCAGTAGCTGAGCTCTAGTCATATGAATACTTATTAATTGATGGATCCAGTCTAACATCTGCAAAGTAGCTGCATTTAGCCAAGATGCCTGGGCTGTCATTCACTGTGCCAGCCAGTATTGTCTCCAAAAGGATCAAGTTTTATAGATCTATTATAAATCACATTAAGATATGTAGTTCCTAGGTCAGACCCCAGCCAAGTATCTATGTCAAACTTGAATTACTCGTTGAGCTACATGCTCGAACCCAGCACTAATCTGGGTAACCAGATGCAAGACGAGTTTGGTTGTAAGAGCTCGTCTTAAAAAAGCTTGACAGTAATTCCACAGATCTTTAAGGGTACAGGCTGTGCAAGCTCGACCTGTTTTCAATCAATTCAATTGCAATGATTCTTGACCCAACCCATCTGAAAGCGTAACACTTAACAGGTGATCCATGGCTCTTTAAGATCTAAGGTATAATAAGCACTTTCCTTGTCTGGTCCCACATAGAACAGGGTAGATGAGTTCAGAATGAGAACCTGAAAATCTGAAGGCAACGGCTGTGACCGCAGCTGCTGAGCTAATGCCCCTGCATCTGCCAGACAGCTCGGTTAGGAGGACCAGCTCCGCCTTCCGGGTGCAACAGTGAGCAAAAGAAAGTGTCAGACCTACCCTTCACTGCCACAGGTAACATTGTTGCAGAATACCCACAAACATACACCTTGCTGTGCCTAACTCAAAAACAAAATATAAACATGCAGCAGCTTTGAGTGCATGTGTGTAACAGTGAGACTCATTACTGAAACAAATGCTCATACATCACAGAGATTTTTGATGACCTCTCACCCACATTAAGTGGCATGATTTTTTTAAATGTCACCTTCTACTTCATCTTCAAGTTTTTCAAGTTTGTCATTTTAATTAGAAGTTAAAGATACTCTTTAAAAACAGGCCCGGTTGGTGTGGCTCAGTGGTTGAGTGTCGACCCATGCACCAAGAGGTGGCCGTTTCGATTCCCAGTCAGGGCACATGCCCAGGTTGTGGACCTGATCCCCAGTGGGGGGCATGCAGGAGGCAGACAATCGATGTTCTTTCTCATCGATGTTTCTAGCTCTCTGTCCCTCTCGCTTCCTCTCTCTAAAATCAATGAAGAAAAAAATTTAAAAAAACAAACAAACAGGGACCCACTCACACAGTAATAGTGTAATAGCGAGAGCAGAAGCATTAATCAGTCTGCCTCTTGTCACACACATTTATAGACACGTAATTTTAGCAGAAAATGGTCGAATCCACATTCGACATTAACCCTAGCAGCACCTTGATGGTGTCTCTGTGTCCCTGCAGTAAAATCAGGATGACTTTGCCCATGAACATCAGTCTTCCCGTCAGCCCCAAATCGGAAGCCCACCGCAACACGGTTTTCACGTATTTGTTCTTTGCTCTCATGTGATCCAAATGCAGGAGGGTCATCCACGGCCCCTCGTCCCCTGCTATGCTCGCTGCAGGACACTTTCCAGGGCCACCTCCCAATCCTGGCTGGGCAAGGATGTGCCTGAGGTTCTGCTGGACCCAGAGAACCAGCTGGTGGACCATCGGTTCCGACAGAAGGCTCCGTGCTTGCTCGAGTAACGTGTCCCTCACAGCCACACGCTGGGCCCTGGTCAGGTGCTCGGAGCTGACGGACACCCCAGGCAGGCATGACGGGTAACCGACTGGCAAGTGGAACACCAGTTCTAAGGGTATATCCGCATCCGTCGGTCCTTCGGCTTTCGTGAGAATTCGGAAAACGGGGCCGTCTGACTCTGGAAGGCATCCAAAAAGGACGGTTAGCTGCACAGCACTCGGCCTGAACAGAACACCTCCAACTCAAAATGTTCGTTTCCAGTATCAATATTGCTTCAGGTGAAACCAGAGTTCTGTTTGGAAGAGACACACACTAGTGAGACAGCCTTGACTGACAGGCTGCTCCTTCACCCGCAGACTCCCTCGCGGACGCCACACACCAGCACACGGACTCCGCCGGCCTCCTCCCATTTCTATCCAGGTTACCAGAAAGGTTTCTCAGCATTAAACTATTTTCTTCCCAGACTTAACTGATGATTCTGGAAACCCCTAATAAACTCATATGAACCTGCAAAAATGTGGTACCATGTATCTATAAAATCAGTGACTGATTTACAAGTTCTGCACTCAATCCAGGAAGCGTCGCTGTGTGGCCAGTCCACATGAGAGCAGACACTGGAATCCTGCGTGGGTGCCCGGGTGCCCAGCGTCACGACTGTCCTGGCACAGTGACTGGCCGTCCGCCTTGTCTGACTCCAGACCTGCGGGACCAGTGTGACGTAAGGGCAGCAGACTGACCTGGCTGAAGGGCGCTTCTGGCTGGAAGGAGGGCAGTGGAGGGCACACAGGACGGAGAGGCAACAGCTGGCTTTTGCAGTCGCTCCACCTCCCCTCTGATGTGCTCCACAGGGCTTCGCCCCACTTTGCAGAAAGCTGATTAAGCATCAGGCTGACTCAGTCTGCAGAAGCAGATGCCCGCGGCTCAGAGCAGAAAGGACAGGCACAGGGGAATCGCTTGGAAGCTGACCTGCCTCTGGGCTCACCGTGTCTCTGCCCACTCACCCTGTTTGATCCTCCCTGCAGAGGTGGCCACACCTTTGTCTTCGTCCCTGGATCTCCACCCCGCAGCCTCAGCCATGGAAACTGAAAGTCCCCACGTTAAAGAACCTAACACACACAGCACCCCCCGCTCCCCGCCCACCCCGCACAAGCTGCAAACCAAAATCACACCGAACAATGCTCTCTACGCAAGAAAGCAAGCAGACCAATAGCACAGACCGCTCTCCTGATGTTTAATGCAGTAATAAATTTACATATGCTTTTAAAAACTCATTTTTCTCCCTCAAACTCTCGAGTATGTCAATTGCCCCTCCCTCTCTCATCTGCCCAAGTCTTTCCTGCAATTAAACTGCTCCCTTTAGCCCCAGAATTTTTCATGGAACCCATGTACTGTCTGTCTGTTTGGGGGTTTGTTTTTCATAAAAAAAATGAAAACAAAGTTGCCCTTATTTGCTTTAAGATTATTATCAGCTTAGAAACAGCGTGATTAACAGACAATAACTAAATCTCACTAATCTCTGCCTCTCCCCGGCCCCTGAAACTCTGGCTAATAAGTTGAACTCACAAAGTCATCGTTCTCAGCAAATATCTGTGCCCTGGACAACGCATGCCCTAGAACACCGGCATTTTCCGAAGGTCCCAGGTGATTGCCATCTACTCTGAAGACTCGACCAGAACACACAGGGTTCGCTCGGGCTGCAGCTCACATCCTTATTCCCCAGTTGTGGGGCTTCGTTTCTAATAAGTCACCTCGCCTTATAAGTGTAGCAATATAATAACTAAAATAGGCTTCAAGCCTCATTCTCCCCGACAAGTGCATGAAAGACATTACGCTGCTAACCACACTCCAAACAAGAGACACTCAAACCAGAGACAGCGAGGTGAACCCAGATTCCACATGAATCTGGGTTGTTTTTAAGGGTTCACCTTTCTCCAAAATCGACAGGAGAAACTCAATAAATGCTGTCCGGTAACGGAAGACCCTGGAAAATGGAGGTGCAGTTTAAGTGAAGGGTCTTCGAGATCACTGAGAACCCACTAAGAAATCTCGTGTCCACTCCAGACAGCAGCCCTGGACCTGCCTCCTGGGCTGTCCGTCCAGATGCTCAGATAAGATGTGGTTCAGGAAGCACAGAAGCCGGACCCTCTCGCACGTCACTGCCCGGACTCGCTCTCCTCTGCCCCAGGTGGGTCACCAAAGGGTGCAGACACCACTACTTGTCTTTATGTCACGGCTGCATTTTTATTCACTTTTAAAATGTGGTCACAGGAAAGAAAAAAACTAAAAGTAAGTGGAGGTTAAAGTGGCCCCCGCTTCCTTTAGAGGTGAGGTCACCCCGAACTAGTTTTACAGGTGTGAGCCCCGCACCCACCACCCAAAGGAAGAGAGCAGAGCGGAGCAGAGGGCCCATGGGTGACAGTCGTGATCTGAGTGCTAGTGTCAGCACAACACAACGCCACTGCGCGGCCACTGTGGGCAAACACGCCGTGCTGGGGGTCCGTGCACCTCTCCCAGTCACAGCGTTTCATCTGTACGACAATTTCCAGAAACACAACTCCACATCCAATGAGCACTGACTGTGGCCATGTGATCGCTGGGAGCCTCCTTCACCTCGCCGGAAAATGAAGGTTTGTAACAATTCCAGGCTCACCTACCACACAGGTGTGCAAACACCCTGCAGAACCATCTGCATGGAAGTGGGGTCACACCCGTCTCCTTCTCTGGGTGCTGACTATGGCCCTCCCCGCCCGGTCTCTTGGGCAGGTCATGCAGTGGAGGGTCCATGCACTCTGGAGGCTGGTGGAGCCTGTCCAGCCCGTGCTTGTTACCTTCTCTGTAAAATAAACCTAGGACGCATTTAAAGTATCGGGTACACAACAGGTGACCCCGTAAAACCTGGCACCTGGCCTGACTGCACAAGGGGGGGACAGACCCCCAGTCCAGCCCACCCGCAGACTCCCTGGTGGAGCTCGGGGTTCATGTAGCTGCGGCCGTGAAAGCCGGACACCACCAGCTATGGACCCGTTGTGAAGAGGCCAAACCTACAGACGTCCCCAGAAATTCCCAGCATGAATCAGCCCAGCTGAGCTGAATCCGATCACTCAGCCTCTTCATTGTTCAGCCGGAATCGCTGACCCCTGGGTGGCAGCCTGAGCCGGCCTGAGATCCCGCACCGGACGCGCCACCGTCACCCTGATCTCCTGATTCCAGCGCAGCAAGGAGATGCCTATTGGGGGGAGGCAGGAGAAGCTGGTGGCGTCAGGATGTTCTGGTAGCAAGCTCCTGTCCTCCAACCCAGACCGACGGTGACAGGACAGCGCAAGCCAGCAGCCCAGCGACGGTCTGCCGCGGTCTGCCAGAGAAGTCCTCACCACGCCCTTCGCTCCCAGCTGTGGACCTCACGGCCCCTGTTCATTCTGGATTGTTCTGTTCTCCCGTCCAACTCGCAGCAACAAAATGCCCTGAGCTGTTACACTGAATTCCTCTGTAATTCAATTAGTTATTGATGCCAGAACACAGAATTAAATTAATTAGGAGGCATGGCTTCAAAGCCACGCTTAATTAAACAGCAGATGAAGGGCCCACGGTGTTCTGGATAGTAAGAAACGCCCCCTCTTCCCACACTTATGTTTCGGGGTTTTCTCAGCCCCATGAGCAGAGTTTGTACTCCGCTGTGTAGCTGTGGCCCAGGCCACTCACTACCACTCAGCCTCTGTCGGGAGCAGTGGGAAATCATGGTTCGTTTTTCCAGAATATTCCCAGCTGAGCCATATTAAAGGAATTTGGGGAATCTGATGACCCCCCAAAAGGCTGCCTCAGGCTGAAGTAATTATCAATAAGAGAGCAGCCGACACAGTGAATGAGATGGATTGGGGACGCCATCCAATCAGAACAGCGGTGACGAGTGACAAGGAAATACGACTAGGGAGCAAATCCTTGCATGTGTTACCAAGTTTTAGGGAGAGGAAGGGAGAGGGAGAGAAAGAGAGAAGTATCAATGAAGGAGAACATTGATTGGCCTCCTGCAGGCCCCCCACTGGGGATCAGGCCCACAGCCTGGGCATGTGCCCTGACCTGGAATGGAACCGGCGACCTCTTGGTGCACGGTCGACGTTCAACCAGTGAGCCACACCGGCCGGCCTTGCATGTGCATTTTAAAGTACTGTTTGAGAAAGATACAAGGCAGGTGAGGCTCTAGGAAAGCAGGTCCACAGCACGGGCATTCACCGGGCCTGGAACATAGTGGTGCTCATGAACCTGAGCAGATGGGGACAAAAGAGAGTCAGCGTGAGGAGCCAACAGCACAGCTCGTGGAGACAGGAAACCACCTTAGTCCCAGACAGCCCGCCTCCTCACAGCACCCAGCACACTTCAGATGACCTTCTCCAGGGTCAGCCAATCTGTGGTCAGAAAGCCAACTTTAATAGTAGCTGACACACAAAGGCAGGCCAAACCCCATGTCAAAAAATGTCCATGATGTGTCTGAGAGCCCAGCGAAAATGGAAAATTATCTGCACCATTGTTCTTGTTCATAAACTGCAGTTTGGGCTTTTACTTAATAGAAGCCACATACAGGGACAGAGTAAGTTTTAACTATCACCAAAACAGCCGAGAGAACGTTTCCAGCCCTGGCCAGAGTGGCTCAACCGGCTGGGCATCCTCCTGTGCGGTGGATTCCACGTCAGGTTTCTCCCTCCCTCCCTCCCTATCCCTCTCTCTCCCTCCCTCTCTCTCTCTTTCTCTCTCTCCCTCCCTCTCCCTCTCCCATCTTCTCTCTCTAGAAATTAATGCAAATATATTTTTTTAAAAAGGAATGTTTCTACACCGTAAGATCCTACAGGACACGGCAGTGACTTTAAAACTGTGTGTGTGTGTGCACGCGCATGCATGCATGTAAGTGTGGGCTGAACAATTAAAGTGCCTCTTGGGGTCTATAACTGATCTTACCTTTCCGGGGTTAGAAAAGGTATAAGAAAAGCAATCAACTTGGAAACAGAACTGAGAAAAGGTTCTGACCCAACACTGTGCAAACTCGAAAACTCAGCCACCATCTCCTGACCACCCCGGTACTGGAGTTCTGTGATTACAAAGCCGACCAAGTCCCTGCCCTCGAGCTACTTGGACAACCAAAGGCCACACAGAGGACACAACGCACAGCGCTTGCAAGGAACACCCAGTAATGAAATTTGGGAGAGCTGGATTTAGACTGTGCGGTCAGGAGACGCCTCTCTTTAAGGTGAGAGGCTGAAAAATGAGTACAGAACGGCCAATGAAAAAGTAGGGGAGCTTAGGAGGGGGCACCGCGCTCCTTGAGCTTTGGGAGCAGGGTGGGCGCGTGGGGCACAGGATGAGCACATGGGGTGCGTGGCGCAGGGGGGCGCCCGAGCCTGGGCCTCAGGTTCCCCATTCTCAGCTGGAGTGCGACACTGGTCACACTCAGGGGGGGCCACTCCCACCTGCCCCCCAAAGCTCCGGTCCCAGCGGGTCCCCCTGCGCGCCGCGGTCACCTGAGCGGCTGAGCACCTCCCACTCGCCGGGCCCGCAGTAGATCGCCGCCAGGGCCTCCAGCTCCTCCTGAGCCGGCCCCGCCATCTGCGCCCCACTCCGCGGCCACTTCCGCCCCCGCCCCTGCTCCGCCCGCCCGTGGCCACCTGGGGGCGCCCGCGTCTCCGCAGCGGGCCCGCCGAGCCGAGCCGAGCCGGGCGGGGTGGGCCCAGAGGGCGGTCCTGCGCTCCGGCTTCCACCTCCCCGGGGAGACTGCGTCTCTGCCGCGCTTCCCCGGAGGCCAGAAGCCCGGTGGCCTGGGGCAGGGTCGCGCCCGTGGCCTCCCTGCCGGAGGGCGGCTCCCAGCAGAGCCTTGCACCCTCGGCCCGCCCGCGCTCGGCCTGGGTGCGGGGAGGGGCGGTGGCGAGGAAGAAAAGCGGGGGGAGTGAGCAGAGGAGGTGCTTGGCCCTCCTCCGGCTCAGTTGAGCTGAGCATGGGGGACACAGATGGGACCTCGGGCGTCCTGGATCCCCTAGTGACGCGGGCCGCCGGGCACTGACCGCGCAGCTGGGCCCCCCTGGGCGCACTCTGCGCTGGGGCCTCGTCCTTCTCCGTGCAGAGGCGAGCTTGGACCCGCCAGGCCTGGCGTCTGGGGAAGTCACTTCGGTGGCCCAGACCGGTGGGCAGTTCTACGCCAAGTGCCCACTTGTCCCTGCCTTCACGGAGGACAGCCCCACCGACATCAGCCAATGGCCTTGAGGGGCACAGTCAAGTGTGTAAACGCAGCAAGTCCTAGCTTTTAAGTATTGTTTAATTAACGTCTGCCGTGACAAAGTAACCGCTTCAGTGAAGTCAGCCCTTAAATACTGTTTACGTTGTGAAATTCGACGTACAATATTAATGAAATGATGGTCCTTGAACCCGGTGCTCAAGTTTAAGGATTTGAGAACTAGCGATAGGGTAATGATGACCAATACTTCTATCTGTCAACCTGTTTGGCTTGACCCAAACCTTTTGTTTTCTTCTTAGTTGTTTTTTTTTTAACTTTTAATTTTTTTAGAGGAAGAGAGAGAAACATCCATGCAGAGCCTAACATCCGTGGTAGCCTCCCGCATGCCACCGACTGGGATGCAGCCTGACTGGGAATGGAACTGGCCACCTTCCCACCCGCAGGACCACACCCCACCAGCTGAGCCATCCTGGCCAGGCAAAACCTTTGGGTTTTTTTTAGTAACACATTTAAAGTTTTGCAGCTGGCCTAGCTCAGGGAGGTCCCAGTCTTTGTATCAGAAATAACATTTTGAGAGATAAGCCTGAGAATTTAGACCACTGCACAGTGATCCCTGCCATTGACCTACAGAGGTCAGAACCAAGGGGGCAGCTTGGAATACGGAATCCGGGTTACCACTGTTGACGTTGTTCCCACTGTGGCTACAGAGGGATTCAGAAAGGAGACACCAGCATCCAGAACAGAAAGGAATGTAGGCAGACCGTCTGCTGGAGCCACGCCCTGAGGACGTGGGCTTTCAGTGACCCCAAGGAAGCCAGAGCGCTGCTGTGCGAGGAACAGAAAAAGGTTTCCTGAAACTCAGTTCTCTGATGTGGCCCCTTTGTTTAACAGTAATTTTTTTAAAAACTCCTTGGAGCTATTTCCAAATGAGCAGCAGCAAGGGAGGTTTATAATGAGCTGTTAAAAAGTTTGGCAAACAAAAGAATAAGGTTAGTTTGAAGCCCAATGTTAGTGTTAAAAGTGGTAGGAAAATATGGATTTAGTTATTTGACTTATTTATTAAAGATAGTCTATAGTCCTGGCTGGTGTGGTTCAGTGGTTAGCATGTTGGCCTGTGAACCAAGGGATCAAAGGTTCGATTCCCCATCAAGGGCACATACGTGGGTTGCAGGTTTGTTCCCCAGCCTGGTTGGGGTGTGTGCGGGAGGCAACCAGTTGATTCTCTCATCTCTCTCTCTCTCTCTCTCTCTCTCTCTCCTGTTCTATCTAAAAATCAATGGATGCCCTGGCCAGTTTGGCTCAGCGGTTGGAGCGTTGGCCTACAGACCAGAGTCCAGGGTTCCGTTCCCACTAGGGGCATGTACCAAAATAATAAATAAATAAATAAATATTAAAATCAATGGAAAAATATCCTCGGGTAAGGATTAACAACAACTAAAAGATAATCTACAAATTTCCAAATTCGCAATAGGAGAAACATAACACGAACAGGCCATCAGCAGTGTCCGATGCGGCCATGAAACCTGCTGCCTGAGACAATTATACACCCTGTATTACAATTAAAATTAAAATTACTGTACGTGTGGACTGTAGGCCTATGTATTCGAGCACCCCAGGGATCCTTCAACGCCAGGTGTAACCACTAGAGTCAGGAACGGGTTACCCGCGATAAACGAGAGCCGACTGTAATAAAAGTTAATTTTCAAATGTATTCCATGGATCATACTCCAAGATGTTTGAGTTTGCATAATGCTCAGTTAAGGAGAAAAAGAACAGAAAATAGGGGGAAATGGGAGGAGAGGGGAAAGGACCAGCACTGAGGAGCAAGCAGAGCCCTTGGGAGGTGGAGCCAGAAGCTGCCGGTCCTGCAGGGGTGTGTTCAACAACAGCAGAGCCTGCAGCTCCCCCTCTTTGCCCCAAGACACGGGGTCTTCTCAGCGGTCAGGGCGAGGGGCACGAGCACCTGGGGCGCGGCGGAAGCAGCGAGCTCCTCCCCTGGTTCTCCGCACAGCGCGGACCCCGGTCATGTCGTGGGCAGGGTGGCCCGGGAGCACCAGGTCCACCCTGGTCAGGAGACTGGGACCCTGGCTGGTCCATGGGCTAGAATTGAGGCCCTTGACTGCTCCCTGCTGAGAAACATCCTTTTCATTCTAGGAGGCCATGTACCCAGCTAAAAGTAGACAACAGAGGAAATATTATGATTCTTATTCTTTCTTATGATAGCAAGATAGGAAACACCCCTGGAGACAGCTGGCAGCCCCGCCACCTGGAGCTGAGTTTTGGTGGGGAGACTACGTTGTCATGCAGCATGCTTCTGTGGAGCCCCCCCTTCCCCCGTCCCTCCACCCCCCAGCTCTGTCTCCTAGTCCTGCTGCATTTTTCTCATAACATTACCTTTGTCTGAAATCACCGTGTTTGTTTGTTTATGTTTGTGGTTGCCCCAGGATGGCAGGGTTGGTTCCCTGCCTGCAGCACAGGGTGGCACAGACGTCCGGAGTAGGAGGGCACAGGGCACCAGGAGGCTCTGGGAGAAGGAGGGTATTCCACGAGGGCGGGGCCAGCAGCTCTGATGCCAGCAGGGTCCCCAGGGCCGGGGGTTCCCTGAGCAGTGGAGGGTGAGCCCAGACATTCTCAGAGCCCCGACAGAGGAGAAGGGACCGTGGGGCTTGAAAGCTGTCAGCAGCGTCAGGCGTCCGAAACAGTCAGGCACGGAGACTGTTTCTCTCCACTGGACGTTTCCATCTGAAAAGCCGGGGCTTGTCTGTCTCGTTCACCTCAGTATCCTCATCCTTGTGTCTAAAGCAATGCCTGGCACATTAGGAATTCAGGACACGCTTGTTGACCGAAGCAAACGCACTGCAGAGTGCATAAGCTCTTCCTACAATCGCTGATTCAACAAAGTCAGGGAGCCCTGCGTGAGCTGGGTACTCGGAGGTCTCGGGACAAGACGGTGGCTGCCCTCCCGGGCCCACGGCCAGTCTGAGAGGCGTCGGCCTTTCCTGGGCAGGCGGATAAGCGTCCCGCCAGGTGAACAGAGGGTCATCGGAGAAGGGTGGGTGCCCAGTTTGGCCACGTATCAAGACCATCCCAGGAAGGGGAGGAAGGAAGTACTGACCAAGCTCCTCACTGTGCAGGCCCCACAGACCTCTAGGAAGTGGTGGCCCACCGGGAGGCGGGTCTTCAGGTCACCGGCTTGGTCGTCAGCATCCTGTGGAAATCCTGGGAGTCCATGAGACTGCCCGCCTGCCGCTCAGGACGGTCACAGTGACGGCTGCGCCGTCCCCAGCAGCACAGGCTCCAGCCTCGCTGGCCAGCGCAGTCCGGGAGCAGGCAGTAGGCCCGTGCGGTCATGTTTTGTATTTCCCTGATGTGCTTTTTCACTTTTTTTGTTTTGTTCTGTTTTTAGTGGGGAGAAAAATCAAGCCAAGGAAACAGAAAAAAATTCCCTTTGTGACATGCACCACCAGGAACGGTCTCCCTTCCCCACCCCAACCTAGGTAACATAAACACTGCTGGAGAATAAAGCCGCTGGGCTCGAAGGCTGTGTCTAGTGCTTCAGGCGGAACGTCTGCGTGCCTGTGGCTGTGCTGCCTTTTGAAACACCAAGGCCAGTCCTTCCTCCGCTGAGAGCTTCCTCCATTCTGTTTTATTTATTCTTTATTGACTTTAGAGAGAGAGGAAGGGAGAGGGAGACAGAGAGATTGAAACATCGATGAGAGAGAACATCAATTGGCCGCCTCAAGCCTGCCCCCCACTGGACATCGGGCCCACAACCTGGGCATGTGCCTGGACTGGGAATCAAGCCTACGACCTCTTGGTGCATGAGTCGACGCTCAACCACTGAGCCACACCAGCCGGGCAGAGGTTCCTCTGTTTTCAAGAAGTGCTATCCTCCAAGACAAAGCAATGCCGGCTCCTGCCATCTGGAGTCACCACACACTCTGTCTTTTTTGTGAATTCTTCAGGTCCAAGTCCGTGCCGGGACCCCTCCGTCTGTGTCCTTGTCAGACAGCACTGCCATCGCCGATGCGTCTCTACCCTCCAGACTTGGACCTTCCTGAGAGGGGTCTCTAGCCCTCTTGGGGTGTCTCCAGCTCTTAGCACAGCAACGGGCCGGAATGGCACTTGCCACGTGTGCAATAAACCAGGACCGAGAGCGTGGCCAGGTCCGCAGAAACAGACTGTGGTTCACTCGACTCTCAGTCCCACCGGATGTTAGTATTTCGTTGACATGTTGATACACATTGAGAGTAAACAGATGTCTTCCCAAGAATCGCATTCAGTTAATGAAGGAAAAATGAACGAACAAAGGGGACAGTGATCGGTCCTAAGCAGGCCCCGAAGTCTCCTACCGGGGAGTCTCAGGGGTTTTATATAT